CAGCATGTCACAGTAGGTAAGGATATTGTTTTGAAGGACATTTTTGTTTCAGATACATATGTGTGTGTGTGTGTGTGTGTGTGTGTATTGTAGGTTCTGATGTAACATATATGTGTATATATATTTTTCAGGTTCTCATGTAAAATATACTGCTTTGGGGGGGTATGGAACACTTTACCACTGAGCTACATCACTCAGCCCCTTTTATTCTTTATTTTGAAACAGGGTCTCACAGCCTCACTAAGTTGCCTATCCTCAGGCCTTAGCATCACAAGTTGCTGGGATTATAAGCGTGTGCCATTGTGCGTGGTGCAGAATATATTTCTTATTGAGGTTTACCAAAGAGAGAGTTCTGAACTCTGGAGCTCCAGATTTAATACTGCTCTGGATGTTTGGTTCCTTGAACTTCTCTGCTGTGAGGACCTTCTTTCTCCACTTTAGTGACCACTTCTATGACCACATCTTGCATCTGGTCACTACCCAGAATGGGTTCATCTCCAAAATCTGGAATTTCCATTGAATTACCAGTACTCTTCCTATTCTGTAACTTCTTAATAAAGAAATTTTTTATTTTTAAAACTTCTTTCTTTCTTTTTTGGGGGCCCAGGGATTGAATTCAGGGGCACTCAGCCACTAAGTCACATTCCCAGCCCTATTTTGTATTTTATTTAGGGACAGGGTCTCACTGAGTTGCTTAGCGCCTCACTTTTGCTGAGGCTGGCTTTGAACTTGTGACACTCCTGTCTCAGCCTCCTGTGCTGCTGGGTTAGAGGTATGGGCCACTGCGCCCAGTTAACCCTTATTTCTTGAATCCAAACTTCCGACTCTTTGCCATTCCTACTAGAATTGACTCAGCTCAATTTTAACTTTTTAGGTGATCTCTTGTTGCCCTCCATGATTACCCTCTTCAGAACCCAAACTGACTTAAACCTAAAAGTGTGATCTAGTTCCCCTTTGTCCAAATGCATGAGGCCCTTCTCTGCTGTACCCCATCCACTCACCCAGACTTTGTTTAGAACGAATGCCACCAACTCAACTTCTCACTTCCTTATTTCTCTCAGGCTTCCAAATATAGACATATCACAGCTTCTTGTCCTGATTTTGACTCTGCTCTGAGGATCTACGCCATCCACAGCCCCTGATGAGGCAGCACCCCTGTGTGCAGCTGACATCCCTACCATGGCCAATTAGCCATGGGAAAGCCTTTAATTCAGTGGTAGAGCACAGGGATGGGCCAGCATGCTGGGAACAGTGTGACCAGCTCCTCCTAGGAAGTCAAGGGACTCTTCCCAGGAAGCGGTGGGAGCTACACATGAGAGGTCCTGAAAGTAGAAGCAGAAGAATCCAGACAACAGAAAGAACCAGCAGGAGCCACCATGTAGCCCTGAGAGAGCAACAGGAGGTAGCTGCTTCATTCCAGTGGCCAATACCCAGGTTCCAGGAGGCCTGGGTACATAGGAGAACCTATTCCTGGTTCTTCTTGAGATCCTGGGACCCTTACAACCCCAGTGACTTTCAGTGGACTTTTCCCCTTGCACCTAAAAGAGCTCAGATAGGATCTTTCGGCTCACTGAACTTCATTGTTGCTAATACATGATTCTTTTTTTTTTCACATAAAATATGCTTTACCAGGAATGCTCTCTCTCACTTCTTCCCATATGGCAACTATTTACTTAGCCTTTAGGAAAACAAATGCCCCTTTGTGAGTGTCCAGCTCCCAGGCCAGGCCCTCCTCTGCATCCCTTCTGGGCTTTGCTTATTGCTGTTATAACACCTACGGCTCTGTTTTGCAACTGTTTGTGTTTCTGCTTCTGTCTCTGGACTCTCAGCTTCTTGGGGGACAGTGTCATATCCTACACATGATTTGATCTCCCCAACATGGGGGAGCACAGAAGGTTCTGTTGGTTCAGGACTCACACCCCTACCCTGGAGCTCACTCTCCTACTGGCAGTTCCATGTACCCTAGCTCACTTTGTGACTTTGTCTGAGAGTGTTACAGGAAGGCTAGAAACTCAGGGGGCTTAGGTGCCAGGAGTGACCCTCATTCAATGAGATGGGGAGTTTGGGAGCAAACACCCCAGCTTCTGGCCCCTCAGGAGGCCACGGAGATCCACACAGGGCTCCAGAGGGTCTTTTATGAAATTGAGCCCCAGTTGCCTATAGAGGCTTCCCTTTCCTGCCTCCCTTCCTCACTCCTTACCGTACTTTCTAGAATCACCCCCCAAATAAACTACCTGCATTCCAATGAGTAATGAAGCCAAACCAAGACAGCAAAAGCACATAGTGTTTGACAGATAGCAAGGGAACAGTCAAAGTCTCCAGCTACTCCTCTCTCCTCCCACTGGCAGAGATGTCAAGAATTGCCATCCCTACCACTTCACTTTCTCTCTTTACGTAGCACCACATGCCCAAGCACCTGGACCTCACGTTCATCCACATCCTTACTCCCCTTCCTCACTGGTTGTTCAGAAGAGCCTACTCTGCTTGTCCCCAGGTCTGATAGAGCCTGGGGTTTCTCACACTCCTGCCACCAGCAAGCTGAGCACTGCTGGAGGAAACTGTCCTACTGTCTTGGTTGGGGTCAGTTCACATTTATGATATTCAACCCCCAACATGGCTTCAAAGCATTTTTCTTGTGTTCAGGTAATTTCCTGTAGCAATGACTATGCCCACGTTTCACTAGGATGCTTGGACCCTTCTTCATTCTGCTTATCAAGTTTTAGCATTTGTTAGAAGAATGGACCGGATTCTGGGTAAAGAGAAACAAACACAATATGGCCTCTTAGTATAGCCAACTAGAGGTAGGAGACAGGCTCCAGACCTACCAAGTACAGTGCTATACATGTATTCAGAACAGTGAATAATTGGTACAGGGTTGTCAACTTATCAGAATGGTCTGGACTGGCCAGAGGAAGGAGAAGCCTCAGTGACAGTGCAACAAAAGGACAACACTTGGGTAAACATTATTATTAGTTCTGTTTTTACAAAAGAGGAAACTAAGGCATAGAGAACCTAAGTAACTTACTCAAAGTCACACAGCTGGTAAATGGCACAGTGGGGTTGAATTCAGAGTCTGACTCTGACTGAAATGCATGAACTTGACTACTACTTGACATTCTAACTATTGATTTTTGAATACAAAATTATTGATGAATGATTGAAAAGTCAGCACAATGAAATCTTATCATGTCTCCCAAGGCTGGTATACTTATAATACATACCTGATCAATCAACAAATTTATATTAAATAATTCAGATGAAAAATACTATATGTATAATCTGATGTAAGTTAGTATATATCCATTATTAGAGGGTATGAAACAAAAATGAGTGAATTTTTTCTCCCAGTTGCTCTTGGATGTTAATCATGGCTAAAGGTGAATTGGTGTGGTATAGTGAACACAATGGTAAACTGAGGCACCCCAAACATGGCTAACTACACGGTAGCCGTACCCTCAGCTTCTGCATCTAAAGAATGTACAGTTGGAGTGGACAATGTTTCACTTCCTTTCCAATACTAAGACTTTACTTTTCTCTCTTTATATAGATAAAATTTTGATTTTAAACCTGTCTAGATTACACTTGAAATCCCACTGATGCAGGTGACTGGAGTCTGGGAGGTCAGTCTGGGTGACAATTACTACACACTCTTTGCTCTTTGGGACACCAGTAGTAGCATTTTCATATCTGAAGAATCTCTATGTTGACTACATGGAGCTCCTTCAGATTTGCAAACTGCACTTGCAAGGTACTGAAGGTAGCGGAGAGTACTGATTTCAGAGTGCCCTTGACTATTAAAGAGAAGGCACTCTGTAACTATCTCAGGCCAGGAATTGGGTCTGCCATATATAGAAAGGATTAGCCCATCGTGCTAACTCTGGCTCAGAGGATCATCAGCACCTGCTCTCTGTGTGGCCCAGTTCCAATTTTTGTCATGTGAGCTCTGTCTTTCCACAGAGTGCTCAGGCAAATCCCACATTTCAAAATAAAAAGACAAAATCACTGCATGGCAGACTCTTCATGGGGTTGGACTACATCTATGGGGTCTTATATGCATGCACAGGAGCAGTGTTTACTGAACTAACCAAGAAGGTAAGAGTATTTCTAACCTTTGGCCACTTTTGAATGAGTGGTGTTGTTCAACTTGTCTTGATATTTTAGTACATGAAAGAATATCTCAAAAACTATATACAAAATATATTGACAAAGCAAAAAGAAAAATGCAGACATTTATCACACCTTGTTTTACACAAAGGCAGAGAAGATGAGGCTCAGACTTTTGCTCTGGGATGTGGCTTTCTCCACCTTAGAGACGGCCCATTTCTGCAGGGGCAGGTCAGAAACCTTTCTTCAGTTCTCCTTACACGTTCCTTATTTAGTCTTACCGGTAGCACGTGCTCAATAAATGTTTGCTGAATTGATCCGTGTGTGCATGTGAATGTTTTGGGGTAACTTATTCTTCAGTGGTTCATGGATATCACAGACCCTATTATTCTACTGAGAGAAACTAAGAAGCAAAGAATAAACTTGTGCTAGCTCGTATAATTCATCTGGATCACAGAGCTCCTCTCCCCTACCTGGTCTGAGAAGAGTTAGTAAAGATGAAGTGCCCCCCCCCCCCCCATCAAAGGGCAGAACTGAAATGCCTGTTTGGGGCCACTCTGGCTAGGAGGCTAGGAGAGGAGCTCGCTTTGGGAGGGGACAAAAAGTTTATGTTTTGAAACTTTTCATACCCTCCTATCTCAGCCTGGTCTGAAAGCCTGAGACCCCCTCAGAGCTGAGTCAAAGGATTTCAGGATGCGCGGCCCTGGGAGCCAGGTGCACCCCTGGCTGTGTCAGCAAGGGGACTGCCCGGATTTCAGGGCATTGGAACTGCAGCCACGCAGCCACCACACAAACCAGCTGCCCCCGCCCGCCCACAGCATTGCCCCTCTTTTTCTCCCTCGACCATGCCCTGCTCCTGAGAGTCCATCTGCTTCCCTGGCCCTGGGGACACTCACCCTGCCACTCGAGGACCCGCTCCCGGGGGAGCGCCGCCGGCAAGCCCTCGGCGCAGGCCCGCGGCGCCCTCAGCAGCGGCAGCAGTAGCAAGGGCAGCAGCAGTGGCAGCTGCGACAGCATCGCTAACCACTGGACTCACTGAGCGCTGTTCGTGGCTCCTGCTGGGGCCGGAGCTCCCCGGCGGCACCCCGCCTGCGGCGTGGGAGGCGGGACTGCAGCCTCCTCCGCGCTCCACTCTTCTGCGGGCCTCGCCACCCCTGCCCCTCGGGGAGACCCACTCTACCACCCCTTGTCGCCGCGGTGTGCAGGCACTTAGGGCTCTGGGCTGGGAGACGGGAGGAAAGTCGTGGAGTTTTCCCCGCCCTACCCACTCGGGCTCGGGGAAGGAGGAGGAAGAGGGAGTGGACCATCTGCCCATCCCAGAAATTCCTGCCTTTGGGGTGGGGAGAGAGGAGGGGTGAGGCTGCTGGGTGCAAGTGCTCCTAGGGTTCCTAGCAGCATTCTGGTTTTGCCGGGAGGCCCAAAAGGACGTGAGAGAGAGAGAACTGAGAATCTCTGGGAACAGGAAGTCTGACATGTGGGTTTGGGAAGCCTAGGGTTCGGGTAAACACTGAGGGTTTGGCAGCCTGTGTGCTGCTCCAAGCTGCTCCCGGAACGCAGGCGCTTTGGGAGGCTCTGAATGTGGAGCACTGGAGACCCCTGGGGGCCCGTGCTGGTCTCTATCCTTCACGCTTCAGAGTAAACTAAAGGTATTTCATTTGTTGACCTTCTTTCAGTTTTAAAAGAGCCTCTACTTCCATCTCCTTTGATCCCCCATATTATCCAGAAAAATATGTCACCCTATAACTCAGAAACCTTGCCCAGAAAGGTTAAGTGATTTGCTATGATTTATTCCCCAAACCAGCAAAAGTTACTCCCTAAACTACTAGTGAGTAGGATGACCCCGAATATAGTCCAAACTGCAACCTTTCAGAGAACCAGAACACTGGAAGTACTTAATACTCGTGGGAACAAACTAAAATAACATCTATCCCAAACAGGACCTTGACAGTAAACAGGGATGAGAGGTGGGAGGGAAAGGGAGAGAGAAGGGAAAATGCATGGAAATGGAAGGAGACCCTCAGAGTTATACAAAAGTACATACAAGAGGAAGTGAGGGGAAGGGGAAAAATAATATAAGGGGGACAAAGGAATGTCAGTAGAGGGAGCAGAGAGAGAAGAGGGGAGGGGAGGGGAGGGGAGGGGAGGGGGGATAGTAGAGGATAGGAAAGGCAGCAGAATACAACAGACACTAGTATGGCAATATGTAAATCAATGGATGTGTAACTGATGTGATTCTGCAATCTGTATATGGGGTAAAAATGGGAGCTCATAACCCACTTGAATCAAATTGTGAAATATGATATATCAAGAACTATGTAATGTTTTGAACAGCCAACAATAAAAAAAAAATATAAGAGGAGGGAAGAAAGCAAAAGGGGACTTAAAAAAAAATGATGGTGGGATCTCAGAGGACCTGTCACAGCTGATGTTTAGGATGTGGTTACCTAGTCTTAGTAAATGTGGCATGAAAAGGTCAGCCCTAGAGAAAATGCCTAGCAGGGAGCAAGATTGAAGGTCACAGTGAAATAGGGAAGATCTTGGCTCATTCCTATAGGAACCTCAGAGACCCTCAGAGCTGAGGACAAAAGGGATAACATTTACCCATAGACTCATGATTCCTGTTGGTTAAGGAGGTGCTAGCATTGTTTTCCCCAGCATATTTTTGCAGCATTGTGTGACTTGAGAAGCACTGGGACTGGAGGCATCAGGTACATGGCATGGCAAAAGGAGAGGCCCAGTTAGGTTACGTCCAGGTAGTTTGAGGGGTGAGGGGACTGGGACCACTGGAGAAAGCCTCATATACAGAAAGTTAGAGTCAGAGGTGGGTTAAAAGAAAATTCCAATGTGTGTGCTCAGTCTTTAGCACGTAATTATATGTAGAAATCAGCCACCCTGCCTGAAGACATGCAGAAAAGGAATGTTTTTAGCATACCAGACCATATAGATGTCAATCACAAGCTATGTCCATCTCCCCTACGGCCTCAAGACTACATTGCTATGGGAACAGTCCCAAAGTGGGAGATTCAGCCCTACTTGAACTGGCTGGCATCTATCACAGTGGGTGGCATAATGAGGTAACAGAGTGTGACATTGATATCAATCTCTGATGAGGGGCAAGACAATGAGAATAAAGGAGAGAGACCAGGGGGAACTCAAGTGGGCATAGAAGGTCAAATATGTGCAGATAGGGTGGTGGACATTGGAGGAAGAGGCTGCCTGGGATAGGAAGAAATTATGAGAAAAATCATACAGGTTAGAATGAGAAATGCTTGTATGGAGGCAGGAGGAGGCATGCCTGGCTGGAACAAAGGGCAGCCCCTGGGACATCCTGGAAAATAAGGCCAATCACTGGGACATTGGGCTACCTTCCACTGGCTGAGGGACCCCGGGTATGTTGTTCACTTGCTGTGGACTTCAGTTTTATCCTCGGCATAACAAGGGGTGGGGGAAAGACTTCCCTGACCCATGGCAGCTACTATTCTGAAGTAGCAGAGTTTTAACTTTGAGTAGGCTAAGGAAAGGGAAACAAGTCACATTTCATTTTCAGGGCAATTAGTGTAATGAAGAGAGGTGTGGACAGCCTCCTGGCCTGCACACACTGACCCTGCATCTCCTATTCCACAGTAGAAGATTCAGAAAACAGCTACCATCTTTCATGTCTTCCTGAAGCACTGCAGCTTCAAGGTGGGTGGAAATTCGTGGTCGAGAGCTTTTTAGGCTCCATGAAACAGCATTACTTTATTCCAGCCTTGGGTTATGTTTCAAGTTTATAAGGCCCTATAGTGGAATTATTAAAAGAGGCTACTCTGCTATTTACCAGCATGTTTCTTATTCTTCTTTGGCCTTCATCTCCTGTGTAAAATGGAGAGGATAATACTTGCCAATTTTTGATAATAATATACAGTGTTGCTGTATTAAATGAGATAATGCATACATGGTGTTTGGCACAGAGTCTAGCTTGTTATTAATGTTCACTTCTGTGAGTGTATGGGGTGGGAGTCGGGTTGCGAGAATGGGAGCAAAGGAGAGCTCAGAAGCAAGACGATGGAGCTCTGGGCCACTGACAATTTTATCTCCTGCTTCCAGCCAGGAGAACACTCTCAGGGTTCTGTGCTTGCAGGTCTCTGTCCATCTTCCACTGCCCTATTTATCCTGAGTTAGGGCTAGCTATTTAGTTATCCCTCTCACATGAATGTGAATTGCTTGAGGAACTGACTCTTTTACTTCTCTTTGAATCTCCGGATCAGCACAATTCCTGGCCCTTAGCTCTCCAAGAGTCTCTGCTGAATGAGTGAGGGAAGCTAGTAAGGCAGTAAATAAGTTGAAAGGAACATAGTGTTTGGAGTTATTTGAAACTTGAGAAAAATATCAGAAGCCTGAATTGAGTTGAATGAAAATAGTGGAGGGAATGCAGGGATTTAAAACTTACTTAAGGCATGGTTTGTGGTTAAGGTCAAAATGAACAGTTTTGAATTTAGGAATCAGGGTCTCAGCAAGAAGGAGCGAGACTAGTCTGTAGTGGAGGATTACGCAAGGGACTGTTTACAAAAATATGAGAAAAGTGAAAGAACAGTGAATCACTGAGTCTCTGGCAAGTGCTGGAAGCTATCACTACTATATCTCAGCCTGAAGGAACGAGGGCAGGAAGGGATTACAGAAGCCTAGCGTGAGTTGTGCTGTTGAGACAGGGGACTTCTAATAGGACAGGACTACCCATGAAGGCTGGTAGGGAGGAGGCCAACAGAACAAACACCCCATCTGTCTTCTCCTGTCCTCTGATTATTTCCCATTGAGTCCACAGAAGTCACTTCCCAGAGCACAGAGCAGAGTGGCAAGCTATAGGCAGTGGAGTCTGGAGAGGCAAATGAAGGATATCTAACACAAGTACCTGCTGTCCATCTTTGTGCTGATGCTAAAGACACCATAAAGAACAGGGTCAAATGAGTCCTTGCCTGTGTTCACAGAGGTTGGAGTCCAGCGGGAGGAACAAGCAATGTAGTAGAGGACCATATGTGTCAGGATGTGAGGATGTATTTGAAGCTCTACCTGTGCTTTGAACGGCTTGAGGCTCTGAGAAGGCATTCAGGAAAACAGTAATATCGGCACTGGCACCTTCTTAGCTGCCTTCAAAAGTTAGTTAGAAGAATGAAAAGAAAAGCCATTGACTGGGAAAAAATATTTGCAAATCATACATCTGATAAAGAATTTGTATCTAGAATATATAAAGAACTTTCAAACTCAACAATAAGAAAATAAACAACCCAAATAACAAAAGGGGAAATGATTTGTACAGACATTTCACTCTAGAAGATGCACAGAACGCAAATAAACACACGAAATGATTTTCAAGGTAACTGGTCATCAGGGACATGCAGATTTAAATTATAATGAAATACTACTCTACACTTACTTGAATGGCTACAATTGAAAAGATTGACCATACTAAGTACTGGTAAGGCTGTGGAGAAACTGGGACTCTTATATGCTGCTCTTCGGAATATAAAGTGGAGCAATCATTTTGGAAAACAGTTTGGCACTTTGTTAAAAGGACAAAAAACATATAACTACTTTTTCATATACCTGTTAGTGTCTCTAATCATGAGGGAAAAGCAAATAAAAACCACACTGAAGGCCTGTGGTTTGATCTGAGTCTGATTTCCAGCACTACAAAAGAAAAAACAAACCACAAGAGTGAAAAGTTGTGCTCCATTTGTGTGTAAAAATTAAAATAAAAATAAACCACAATGAGATATCATTTTATACCTGTTGGATGGAGAGAGAGAGAGAGAGAGAGAGAGAGAGAGAGAGAGAGAGAGAGAGAGAGAAGGTTAACAAGTGTTGGCAAGGTGTGGAGAAAAGAGAACTCTTGTATGCTATTTGTAGGAATGTAAATTGATATAGCCTTCCTGCAAACCATTATGGAGGAAACTTCTTATGGAGGATCTTCAGTTATTTAAGAATAGAACTAGCATATAACTTAGCAGTCCTTCTGAGTATTTGCCCCAAGGATGAAATCAGTACCTCACAGAGATATCTGTGCTCCCATGTTCCTTGTAGCATTATTCATAATAGCCAAGATATGGAAACAACCTAAGTGTCCATTCATTGGATAAACAGATAAAGAAATGGTGGTGTATATACACACATGCACACATGTACACACACATACACACTTATACACACATGCACACACAATGAACTATTTATTCTGCCTCAGAGGAGATGTGGCCATTTGCAACAGCATGGATAAACCTAGAAGACATTATGCTAAATAAATAAGCCAGACACAAAAAGAAAAATACTATATGATTTTACTTACATGTGGAATCTTAAAAAAAAATTAAACAAATAGAAAC